TTGTGAGGATGGCACAGGACTGGGCAGTGTTTCCTTCTGTTGTCTAGGGTCGCTATGACTCGGAACTGGCTCAGTGGCAACAAACAACATCAATAGTTTTAACTTTGAGACCCCTATGAAAAGATCTTGGGGAATCCCAGGGCTACTAGACAACACTTTGAGAACTGCTGCTGTATGTCATTACGTTAATCTATATCTGTCCCTAGTTTTTCGTTTGCACACCACTGTAATAAAATACTTTGTATATTAGATTTTTTTACTCTTCTCTTAGTTATTCTTTTCATACAGTAGATTACCTGAAGTAAAATCACTAAGACAAATACAGAATGTGGACCATTCAATAAGACAGTTGTCCAAGTTTCTTAAAAAAAATCAATGTCATGGAAAAAAAAATGTGGGAAGATTATTATAGAATAAGAGATTAAAGAGATATAATGGCCAATAAGCATTGTATGAATTTTGACTGGATCCTAGTTTGAAAGACAAAACAACAAACTGACTAACAAAGACATTTTTGTACAAGAGGTAATATTTGAATATGCAATGGATATTAGATGATATTATAAAATTATAGTTAATCTCTCATGTAATATAATGGTATTATGGTTATTTACTTAGCAGAATGTTCTGTTTTTAGCATATGCATGTTAAAGTATTAAGGGTAAAGTTTCATCATAGCTGCAACTTATTTTCAAATGTTTCTTTAAAAAATATCTATGTAAATATATATTGACCCATACACATTGTAAGATGGTGAAAGTAGAAATAATAATAGCATCACCTGAACCTGTCTAACTTTGGGGGATAATGAGAATTACCATAAGCACAAAGCTGATTCCCATGAGGTGGAGGTCAGACATACCTCCACTGGCCACTTTTTATCAATTCTGACACCAGCCGTACCTCCCATGGCACTCTTTACTTCTCTTATGGGTTCAATAATCTGTTGCAGTGGCCACACAGAGCTCACAGACCATACTTAACGGTTAAGTGGTTTATTAAGGAACAGGGTACAACTCAGGATCAGGATCAGGATCAGGAAGCATGCAGGCAAAGCCTCCTTTCTTCAGTGCAGGACAGCTCTTTCAGCTCATTTTGGCTGTACAGGCCTCCTCTTGGCCTCCTGAGGACAAGCTCTTCTTGGCCTCATGAGCATATGCTCCTCTCAGACCCCTGAGGACAGACTCCTCTCGGTCTGTCACCACTGGCTCTGCAGCTGAGCCCCTTCCAGGCATGTCACCTTCTTCAGTGTTACAGCCCTTGATCTGTGTTACAGCTCTTTTAGGAGGTTCCTCCCTCTCAGCTTCTTCTCTCTTCTTTCTTCCTTCTGCTTCTTCCTGCTTCTTCTCTTCCTGCTTCTTTCTGTCTGACAAACCTCTGTGGGGCTGGTTGCTTAAATACACAAACTCTGTCAATTTCAAGACATGACACTCTCACCAGGGCCACAAACTGACCAATCAGCTCTCGGTAGGCCGCAGACACTTCATTTGCGTAGTAGGCACAGCTGAGCTACAACTCGCCTGATTTGCATAATCTATTCGCCAATCTTTGCAAGGTGCATACCAATCACAGGACAGGCTACAGCCCAGGACCAGATAAAAAGTGTCAAATCAAGTTGTTTACAACTTACCCAGAAAATGTCAGTCAACTTGGACAAAAGTAACAAACCCTCTGGGATAGAGAACTAGGGCAAAGGTAACTCCTCAGGGTTTAGGAGAACAACTCAAGCTGTTTTTCCAAAGAACCAAGGCAAAAGGCCACATAAAGGAACTTATTTCATCATACACACACACAGAAGATTAGAATAATTGAAAGCAGATAAAACAAATATGGCAAAACATCAAAAATTGTTCAGTCTAGGTGGTGGGAATACAGGTGATCCTTGAATAATTCTTTTAGCTTTTCTGTTGATTTGAAGTTTTTCATATTAGAAAATAGGAAAATAAGTAAAATCGCAAAATTAAATGTTATTTATCAAAACTTCTAAACCAGTATCTAAAAGAATTAAGTATTCTTTTGAAAGTTACAGAACAGCTTTTTCTAAGTACCTTTACTGGAGTGTGTGTATCTCAATGAGTCAGTTATCAGCTCCAGAGTCATTCAGATGAAAATTTTAATCCTTTCTTCATCAGTGATGAGCAATGTGACCTCAGGCAAACTCTCAAGGTCCCAGTTGTGGAAAATGGGCCACAGTAATAAAGATTATTTGATAAGGTTGTTATAAAAATGAAATTTATATTATCTATAAAACATTTTAATGCTCAGTAAATAGAAAACACTCAAATCTTATGTTACTGTCATTACAAATTCCAAATCCTTGCTTCATGAAGTTAAGAAAAACCAATGGAAAAGGACCACATATTAAGTCATCTCTGTTCTATTACATTCAAGTACATCCCGTAACTTCAGGCCTACTGCAAGTCCTTAGGGAGCCAAGGCATTTTAATAGATCTGTAAGATTATTGTAAGATTATTTGTAATTAGAATGTGAATTGTTCCTATAATTTATTTTTTTCACATAAATGAAAATATTCTTCTCTAGTGTTTAAAAATTTTAGAAAGTTGTCCTGACAATTATTTTTCCTTAAGTTTTCTAAACCATAGTCAACTTCTTCTTGAATTATCATACATCCAAATTAGTAGATTCTAAATTAATGTATTTTGATATATTTGTGAAAATGCAACTAATGTATTTCATATATATTCATATTAAAAGTAAGAATGTCCTCAATTATTTTATTCTTGGTGTTCAAGCTATTGATGGACCACTAACTCTTAGAAAGCAAATTAATTACATGAGAAATAGAGATCTTAGGATTTTAAAGATAGCTACAGAGTGCTTTGAGAGTAATTTATAAAAATGAAGACTTTTTTTATTAAATGATTTCTATTTTGTAGAGGTGCTTCAATTATTACTGATTGTTTAAAAAGTATTTCTTCTTAAAAATCATCTTTAATTTTTATTAGTAGTAAATGCTGCCGAATGTTTTAAGGCATTTTAAAAGGCACTTAAACTTGTAAAATTTCATATATTTAAAATGTCCTCCTAAAATGTAATGTTTTTGTTTTCATTTAGTGTGTCATGTAGTCAAGTAAATCTTAAAATCTTCCTCAAGCTGTGTATAAATTGTTGAATGGAAGCTAATTTACTCTGTAAAACTTTCACCTAAATAACCTAAATTTTTGAAAATTTTCCTCATGATTGAGCACTCTCGTGAAAATGAAAGTATTGTATAATTTGACATAGATACAGCATAGATTGAAGTGTAAGTACTAGCATAGAAGTAATAGGCCTGTCTAGAGAAAGAAGCCAATTACAATAAAGCAAGAAAAACTCAGTTGTAGTTTGTGTTTTCCACAAATACCCACTGGGATATGGGAGCCCTCTAGTTAGTCTTACCTCTCAGAAGAAACTGAAATATAGCTCATTAAAAGTACAAGGAAGGGCTAGATTTTTCAACCTGCGTAACTCATGGAAACAGCTTCTTCTGACTTCTTCCGTCTCTTTCTGTGATGTGTTCCATCCAGCAGCTGAAATAGACTGCCTTCTGGAATTTAAAACCCACATGCTCAGTCGGACCACAGCAGTAAATTTGGTGGAACAGATGGTCCTGTGTGTTATACCTCTGCACCAAACCTTGGGATTTTATCAATAGACTTTACCCTGTTGGGTTGCAGTAATGGGAATTGGAGTGACAAATTAACAGCAAAACTTTCATCCTTATATCAAAACAGTATCTGTGGTTTTGTTGTATTATTCTAATCAAGCCAAACTTATACTATATGTCACATGTCAGAGGGCATATAAATGTATATGAATTTATAGTATTTTCTCTATTTTAACATTGAGATATGATTAAATGAGTATTTAGTTCCACATCTCAGATTTTCCAGTGGAGTTTCAAAAACTATATGTTGATGAGTTTTTTGTTTTTTTTTCATTTAAAGCCATTTCTTTTCACATATGAAAAAAATTTTGTTGGTTCGTGCATTTAACATCATTCAGTATTTTCTATTTACTGTGCCATGGGAAGAAACAAGAAAGGGAAGAAGGGAACTAGCATTTTTAAGTGTCTTTTATGAGTCTGACTCTTGACTCTATCCTGTCTGGTCTGATCTTTATAACTGTCCTAGGAGGCATTCACACATTATGCTTTTGTAACTTTATTTAACACACGCTACTGTGTTTATGTTATTTGTAAATCAGTGAAAATACAGGGGTGAGCAAGATAAAATAAAGTTCCTATCTTTGTGAAGTTTTCATTCCAGCAGGGAAGACAAGCAGTAACAAATATTCGATTCATTATTTAATTACAGTTTTAGTAAGAGACAAAAGAGCTCATAATAGGGGGCCTTACTTAGCATTCTCTGGGTGGTGTAAAGGGTTAAGCACTTGAATCTACTTACGAAAAATTAGCCATTCAAAACTCTGTGGAGTACCATTCTACTCTGACACACAGGAGTGCCATGAGTTGGAATTGACTCTATGGCAACTGGTGTGAAACCTAGCTGGGGAGAGGTTGGGGTGAGGGTCAAGGAAGCTTCCCAGAGTTGTTGAATGAATGCTTGCAGGTTGCAGTGTATGATCAATCAAGCTTTTTCCTAAAGGATGAGTAGGAGTTGGCCTGGAGAAGGATGTGTGTATTTGAGAGGGGAGTGAATGGAGAAGATGGGGAAGCTGGAAAGAAATCTGGCAACAGCAGACTGATAAGGGAGACAATGGCTTTCTCCCTTTGATAGCTGTGGCACTCAAGGTCATGTGAGCAAATGTAAGTGGGATTTGTACTCAGTCTTACCCAGCTCCACATTCTTTCTAGTACAAACAACATGCCTTTTTCCCTGTTAGACATCAAACCATGCTTAAATAATTACTTTGATCTGCGTGTGCATATTCTTTGATATGAAATATTTTTGTATTTTCATTCAGATATTTTGCTATTTCATTTAGGAAAGTAAGTTACTTCCATGCCTTCAGAATCATTCTCTGTTTTGTTTTCCAGCGTTCCAACATTCCAGAGCCTTCCTGAAGAGATCCTCAGTAAGCTTGCTGATGTCCTTGAAGAGGTAATTGTTTTTTAGGCCTTGAACCTTTGGAGACAGGACCCAGCCTGCTCTGCGGGCTTCTTTCACAGCTGTGTGATGACGAATCACAAGCTGCGGAGAGACCATTGAGATTTTTTTTTTTTTAACTCTTGGATTAACTACACATTTGGCTTCGCATGAAAAGCAGCTCAGCGCATCCTACATTTAAACACAGTTAGAAATGTAAAAGTCCACTTAACTACAGAGGGAGAAAAACTTTTCTTCTTGGCAAATATAATGTTACTTTTGTTTCCAAGAATGGGAGATGGTGCACTTTCTCGTTTATTTCAGTCAAGGTAAAGCAAAATTATAATTACTGCCATGCTGAAAGGTCGGACTATGGAATTTACAACAGGAATTAGCAGTTGGGAACATATTTTATTAGCATACCAGTATATTTTACACATATAATTTTATGCCTGAGGGTGGAAGTGTCACTGTTACTCTTTTTCTCTGACCCTATCCAGCCATAGTTTTCCAGAAGAGGAGAAACACTGCATGTTAGGTTATTCAGTCGTGGGCCACCTCTTTGAGATTAATAACTAAGCACAAGCAGATTAAAGTGCTTCTGCTCCAACTGATGAGATCAAAGCCAAATTGAAAACACAGAAGTTTTGGTGTCTAAAATTGTTCTCCTAAAGGTATTGGGAATATGAGTTCTATTTCATGTTGAAAAGAGAAAAAATTATCTTTTTCTTCCTGCTGAGGAAGTATAGATGGATTGATGAAGTCTAAGAACAGTATCTGTGAAGACAAAGCCAACTATCAGCCCAAAGCAGGATGCCCTTGCTGAGGTGGGCAACATGAAAGATAGAATTAGTTTCAATCATATTCAGCAAACAAGAAATGAATTCAGGAATTTAGAAGGTTAGTTAGGCAGCCCAGGGATAATCACAAAACAGAGATCAGTCAGGCAAGGGAAATATTCCAGGTCAGGTTAATTCATTTTTTCATCTTTTCAGTAAATTTTTACTGAGTATCCCCTATAATCAGGCGTCCAGGGATATAAGAGTAAGTAAGATAGACACCATGCTGCCTGCATAGAGTTAACATTCTAGAAGAGGAGATTCATATTAATTAACAAATTGCATAAATGATTGATTAACTCAAATGTGATACAAGTCAAAAAGTTAAATGTGAGCTGCTCAGAGAATAAAACAGGGAAACCAACATAGTCTAGGGAGACATGGAAGGATTCTGAGAAAATACTGTGAGCCTAGCTCTGCAAAGTATGTAGCTCTATAAAATACTAAGAGCCAACTCTGAAAAGTTGGTTATACAAAGGAGAACTATTACAGAGGGAAGGAACGAATGGATTAACAAAGGCCGTAGGCCCCTGGGGCTAGTGTGCAGAATGTACCCTGAGATGGAATCTTGCAGGGTCTAGAAGGTCCATTTAGATACTTTGATTTCATTCTTCTAGAGTTGGGAAGCCTGTGGAAATTGTTAAGCCTGGGGGAAGGGAAGGAGGGGCAGGACTAAAAGATTAACATATTTTTAAAGGAGTTTTCTTAAAGGAGACTTCATTGGGTAAGTAGGAGTGAAATGAGATGCAAATGGTCAGCCTTGGGACAGACGGAAGGAGCCCTGGTAGCGAAATGGTTAAGCACTTGACTGCTAACGGAAAGGTCAGCGGTTCAAACCTACCAGCCATTCTGGAGAGAAAGATGTGGCAGTCTGCTTTTGTAAAGAATACAGCTTTGGAAACCCTATGGGGCAGTTCTACACTGTCCTATAGGGTCACTATGAGTCGGAATGGACTCGAAGGCAGTGGTTTTATGGGTGCTTAGAATCAAGACTTTATATTGATTGTTTTTACTTGCTATACAATTATTTGCCGAACATCTACTGTGTTCCACAACTCTCTTAGGCTTTGGGCATGTAGCAATGAACAAAACAAAACAAAACTCTGTCCCTTTATGGAGCTTAAATGATTGATGGGGAGGATTACAGAGATATATACAATAAATAGTAAATAATTATTTTTTAACTATATAATATATATTTATAAATAATTATCCAAATCCAAACCTGTTGCCTTCGAGTCGATTCTGACTCCTAGTAACTCTATAGGGCATAGTAGAACTGTCCCACAGGGTTTCCTAGGCTGTAAATCTTTACAGCGGCAGATTGCCAGATCTTTTCTCCCACAAAGCTGCTGGTGGGTTTAAATCACCCTTTCAGTTAACAGCCCAGTGCTTAACCATTGCAACACCAAACTGAAAACCCGTTGCTGTCAAGTGGATTGCAACTCATAGCAACTCTGTAGGACAGAGTAGAACTACCTCATAGGGTTTCCAAGGAGCGACTGGTGGATTCAAACTGCCAACCTTTTGGTAAGCAGCCAAGCTCTTAACCACAGAGCCACCACGGCCTCGTTGCACCACTGAGGCTACTTAAATGCATATTTAGGAGAAAATAGAATAAAACCTTGATGATTGGTCCTTAACATTCCCACATTAACAGGTTGGGAAATGAACAGGAGCCTGTAGAGGCCTGTGAAAGTAGGAGGAAAGTCAGGAGCATGTAGTACCTTAAAATCCAGGAAAAGAAACTCTTTTGAGGAAAAGAAAGTAAAACTTGAGTATGAGTTTTACTGAAAAGGCAAGGAGAAAAATGAAGGGAAAAGTGGGGTTAGGAGGAGATTGTTGTAGCATGGGAAATCTTGTTGACATAGGAGAGGAGAACACTGCATATACCACACCTGAGAAGCACAAGAGAATAGCTCTCTACTGCCTATAGAGACGGGGAAGGCAGAGTATCCGGGCACACATGTAGGTAGGTGCGGTGGTTGGAGCTGTGGAAATTTTGTTCTGGTTTCTTCGGTTTTCTCTGTGATACAGGAAGCAAAGTCAGTGACTGAAAGTGAGGATGAGGAGAGAGGTCTGAGCAGCTTGAGGACAGAAGAAAATATATGAAATAGTTGTTTAGAAAAAGGGAAGAGTCAGTGGAGTAGGGAAATACAGTATCATTAAGACCGCACTTGATGTTAACGATCCCAAATCTACAGCGAGACTAGCTCATTTGATTGTGTATGCCTTTTCAGCCTTACTTATTTGCCTAGGTACAGGCTCCAAATAGGCAAAGAATTTGATCCAACTAGGATTTGTGTGTTACCAAGAAGAAATGAGTGATTGCGGGAGAGACTACTGAGTTGAGGCTGCACGGGAAGAAATGCTTGTGTGATTGGCTATGAAATTTAAACTGAGCAAAGAGGAGAGGAGCACCAGAGAGTGCGAAGGCCAGTGAAAGGTTGTAGGACAGATGGATTTTAGACTTTTGAGGTGCAAGAATTTTTGGAGGTGGGCTGAAAGAGATGGTGAACTGGAACAATACTGAAAATGTTTTTGTCACTAATTACAACCTCTACCAATGATTCTATGATCAGCAGAACCTCAAAAGTTCATATGCACAAATTCTTAGCTTGGGGCTTACTGAGGTGAGCTTTTCTATGTATTTATGATCTCCCTAATCTCATATGTGACTCGAAGGTGAAGCAGAACATTGTCACATTTGACTTCTATGTTCAAGTATAAAAAATTCATGAGAAAAAGTACTAGCTGTGTTTCTCTCTGACCACAATGACCTGTATACCTATACAGTCTGTAAATAGAAAGCTGCTTTTTCACAGTTGCTCTTTTACTGTTTGTTTTCCTTGTTGAATACAATGAAAGACTCTCTGATAACCTAAAAATATATATATACATATGTATATATATAAAACTAAAGCACAAATCAAATTTCTAGCCACAATCAATCCCACTTAAAAAAAAAAAAGCTCATGAAAAGTCATTGCTTCTTTTTTTTTTCTTTTCCACAGCTGTGGAAGCATTTGCTATGTTTTGCAAAACAATAGTCATAGCGCTATAAATAATTCTGACCAAAGGAATATTTTTGTATTTATGTCAGGTTTCCTAATCAGAAGATGCCTTAATTTATGTTTGGATTGTGTGCACTACAGTACGGTTTATACCAATGCTGAACGAAAATGGAAACAGATGATTAAGTACTCACACAGTTGTTTTCAGGACATAAATGAAGTAAACAGACAAAATACAGAGTAGACATATAAATGTGCTAGGCAGTACATGAAAGTATTCAACTCAAGTTGAATAAACAAGCACAATGAGAAATTAGATTAAATTGTATATCCAATAAAATGAAGCAAATTTGGAAGAACAAAAGCCATACCAATGTCACATAACATTAAAGGAAAATGTGTTTACATAATAATTGAGCTGTCTTTCTTCAAAATATCCACATGAAGATGAAAAAAAAAGAGATTATTTTGAAAGTATAACAGTGTTATTATAGCCTTCGACGAAGATGTTTGCAGCCTGATTTGTTTATTTGACAACTATTTATGGATCACCTACCATGTGCCAGGAATTGTTCAGGCCTGGGGATTCAGGCAGAGCCCTGCTTTCACTGAGCTTGTGTTCCAGTAGGGGATATAGATAATAAGTAAGTAAGACAAACAGCATGGAGTGATAAGGCTACCCTCTATTGGTTTACTAAGGGAAGCCCTCTCTGAACAGGTGATAATTAAGATGAGATCTAAATGATAATAATGCAAATACAGGTGCCATGTGTATACCAGGCCGAGGGAAGAGCAGGTGCAAAGTCCTAAAGTGGGAGTGTTTATTGTCCTTAAGGAACAGAAAGATTTGTAGGGGTTGATAGTGGAGTGGGCTGAGATTAGAGAGAATTAGTCAAGGCCAGATCTCAGAGGGATTTGCTGGTCATGGTAAAACAAAACCAGTTGCCGTGGAATTGATTCTAACTCATGGCAACCCCATGAGTGTCAGAGTAGAACTGTGCTCCATATGGTTTTCAGTGGCTGATTTTTCAGCAGTAGATTGCCAGGCCTTTCTTTAGAGGCACCTCTGGGTGAACTCAAACCTCTAACTTCTCAGTTAGAGGCCTAGCACATTAACTGTTTGCACTACCAGGGACTCCATGATAACGAGCTTAAATTTTAT